GCAGAGCTGAGACGAACTAAAGACAGACTGGCCGAAAGTCAGGTTGGATTTAGAGCTCAAATTCTCGATGGCTAGCTGATCTCGATGGCTGATTTTGATCAGCAATCTTGCACTTGAATCAGACAGAAAAATCTTCTTCACAAACTCGCTTAACTAATTTTTTTGTGCATCCTTCAGGAAATACTCCAAAAACTCCACGAACTCACGAAGGAGTCCGGAAAAGACTTGGGCAAGAGAGCTCGCTCGCTATCACCATGTTCGTTTAACAGAATTCGATTTGGATTTGCTTCCTTACTTCCGATAGCTGCCTGTTTCGAAGAAACATGTCTGGGATGACAATAGTATTTGGGATTTCTCAAAAGCAGGGAAAACTGCTGCAGATGTATTTGTCCAAGTGGCCAGAATATTATTGATAAATTAAGGGACAATTAAAGGAATGAATTCATGAAGGTTGATAGAAATACGTGGTCTGGCAGACCGTCGTTATCCCCTCCTTCTCCCGCTACAGTAATTGGCTATTTCCATACATAACGCCAGAACTGATTACCCGATCCTCTCCGTTACCTCCCTGACAGCTCAGCCACAAATTACCCAAAAAATGGGTAATAATCCCGTATGGGAACCCTGGTCTGGCCTGTGCAGGTGACGGTGGAATTCTGAAAGGTGTGAGCTTCAGCTGGAACGCACGTTCTACCATCGGAAGTGCTGCGCAATGTCCGCTACGCAATTCGTAGCCGTGACACGGAGATCATGCAGCTGCAACGCAAGATGAAGAACGCGGATGCGCAGATCAACGAGCTGGTGGCACGCTTCGAGAACACCGAGGAGGCCCGTCGAAGACTCGAGAGACAACTCAACGACGCCAAGAAGGACGTCGATGCGCAGTAAGCACTCTTACTCCACCAGTTGCCTTCTCATACCATCTCTAAGTAACCCAACACTTGATCAATAGGACACGATGACGATTTCCGATCATTTGAAAGTGATCTGAACCAAAATCGTGATCAATCAGAGCGATTTCTTGGCTACAAGAAGACAGCTATCTTACAAAACTTGGTGTCGTCAATAGATTGAACATAATGCAGATGATGAGTGTTCTTAGTTCTTAGTTCTAGAAGCAGCACTGAATTTCAAATATCCGATCACCAACGTGATCACATTCATATGAGATCGATATTGTGGCAGAGAAAGGGATGGGAAATTGATCCACGCGATTGATCGATACTTTTTGGAAAACTGATCAAATCAATGATTGATTTTGCAGAGCCAAAGCAGTGGAAGATGCGACTCGTGAGATTCGTCGTCTGGAGGAGCGTTTACGTACCGCCGACTCGGACAAGACCGTCTCAGAGAATGCTCGTAAGCACCTCGAAGACGAAATCCGTCGTATGAAGATGTATGAGATATCCTTTAGTACTTCAATAAAATAAACATTCCGCTGAAGAAATACAGTTTAAGAATCGCCAGTCCTTCAAGCAATACACTGAAAATGAGAGTCATGGCTATCTGAAGGCTTCATCCCCCCAAAAAACCCCTTTCAAGATGTATTAACACGAATTAATGATCAGCAAATATGGCGATAACGTTTTATCCGTCTCAAAATGTTTCGAAACCTTCCAGATCTAACGACCTCGTTTGTTGATCCTTAATGATTTGATGAGTAATCTTGCTTAATTTCAGCTTACTCGATCAAACGGTCGCAGATGGTGAGCGTAAAGCTCTCGAAGATGCCGAAAATCAAATGCGTCTTCTCGAGGACGACTACAAGAGTCGGTAAGTAGTAATAGCCTACTACTACTTACTACAATAGAAAAACGGATTTTGCCTTCGAGAAATGGAGTTTGCAAGAGGGGATATGAAAGAGGGAAGAAAGACGATGACAGAACATCAATGGATTCACATCATTCGGTAAATTTTCCAATTTCAGAATCACCGAGCTGACACGTAAGATCGACGTACTACAAGACGACAACAAACGTCTGAAGGGTGATCTGGCTGGTGTGAAGGATAAATTCCGCAATCTGGAGATCGAATACAATTCAACCATTCGCAAGATTGATGAAAAGGGTGAGCAGTCATAAGAGGGTCGTGTTTCAGAAGCAGATGCAGATCTAGATTCAGAAGGAATGCACAATTTGGTGAAACTTCTCAGCGAAATAGTTGATCAAGTCAAATCTAGAATGCATTTGATAGAATTTAGTGGGTGTGATCAGTATTGTTGATCGCTTGATCAGTACAACTTCCGCTTGACCAGTAAAACACCTAATACATTTCCAATCGGAATGCAACAAATTTTACTGTCATGGAAAGTA